CCTGCATGTATGTTCATGTATTGAAAGGACCAAACAGATGCCATAACAGGCTGCTCAGTTTTCTCTCAGAGACCAGGCCTCAATTTCAGTTTCCTGAGACTTGAGCAAGCAGTTTCTGGGAGGGCTATGACTTAGTCCTTGCAGTAGCTCCCTTTCTGCACGTACTCTGACTGCTCAAGGATCAGCCAGTTGTTTACTGTCTGGGACCCCTCACCAATTTAGAGCATGGGTCATTGTGAACATGCGAGGCCAGCCAGTCTCCATGGCAGCTCAAGGAAAGAGCCTGGGCCACTGAGTCAGCCCCCACAGTCAGTATGTGCTAGGCCAGCCAGCCTCCATGGCAGCTCAAGGACAGAGCCTGGGACTTGTCCAGGCCTGCCCAAAAATGATAACTGTAACCCCCAACTAGTAAATTCAAAGGTTACACAGCCTCACCCAATCATATGATGCCAAGGCTTGTACCACCCTGTTTGCGGTTTTTCCCTTTAAAAACCCCTCACCCTGAGAGCCCAGGGCCGTCCTTCTCCACCCGCTGTGTCAAGTGTTGGACACAGACCAAGCCTGGGCTTGCTTGTTATCAATAAACCCCTGTGTGTTTTGAATTGGATATCGGCTCTGTGGTGATCTTGCTTGGTGTGTGTGTGGGGGGGGTGTCTTACAACATGGCCACAACAGTATCACATGCATAGTGTCACATGCCAGGAAAAGTATGTCCAATCTCTAGAACTGGAGTTACAAACAGTTGTGAGTCACCCTTTAGGTTCTGAGAATCAAACTCAGGTCTTCTGGGAGAGCATCCAGGCTCTTAACCACTGAACCATTTCTCCAGATCCCTCTGACAGACTTCATAATTCAAGAAATACATCAGAATTATCTGTAGATCTTTAAAAAATGTGCATATGTTTAGACACTCATCCCACATGAAGGGATCCAGTAGTTCTGATAATCTGGAGTTTGGATATTTCTCTGCTGATTGAGAAGCACTGATTGGAGTGATGACTTCAGGCTTGGTTCTGAGACTATCCACATGCAAGAGGACAGCTGTGCATGGGAGTCAAGTTGAACATCAAGTTCAGAGGAAGCATGCTGAATAGGAGCATGTACACATGCACACATGTGCACATGTGAATACACATACAGACAGACAGACAGACACACACACACACATGTATAGGCACAAGATCAGGCCATAGACAAGAGATTGCTCACCATCCTTTGCAGCTAGAAAACAGCCAAATTAGAGTGTAAGTGATATATGCAAATTAAGGGTCATTACAGGGAGAGGACTGGCATGTTTTCCATCTCCCTTTCTCTCTTAATGATTGGGACACAGATGTGAACATTGGATCTGGTCAAACACCTTAGGATATAATACAGATGCTGTGTGTTGAGTATGGATAAGCAACAAGATAGACATTTACACAATATCACATTATCTCTGCCAGTTATGAAAGAGAACAATCAATCATTTTAAGCAGTTACTTTGATTTTTTAAAAGACACCCTAAATAGCCTTCTAACTAACACAGTTCTCATCATATATTCTCTGAATGACACATCAAAAAACTGCAGGAGACTAAATTCAAAGAGTGCTCCATAGGAAGAGCTATGCTTTTATACGTCTCTGATTTTCCTCATGCTTACTCTGGAGCAGCTAAAGAGGCAAGACAGAGGTCAATAGTAGGTCATGAAAGTGATGACCTGGGTGCTTACTAAAATGCAGATCTAGGGGTATAGAAATGGCTCAGTTAGTAAACTGCTTGCTGCCCATGTATGAGGACCTGAGTTCAATCCTCAACACCCACATAATAATTAGGCATGCACCTGTCACCCCAGTTATGAGAGTGGGGGATTAGAGATCAGTGGATCTCTGGAATTTACTGGCCCATCACTCTAGACAAATTGGTGAGCTGCAGGTTCAGTGAGAGACCTTGTCTCAAAAAATAAGGTAGGAAGCAATGGAGGGAGACAGTTAATTTTGTCCTCTGGTCACCACACATGTATGGACACATCTCTATTCACACATGTGCATCTACACAGACACATGTAGACACTCTTGGCTCTACCCTCAGAGATGCCAGTTTTTTCAAGCCTGGCATAAGCTAGAGGCTAGCATTTGATGAGTGCCCCAGGTCACTCTGGTGTAGGCTGTCCTTGGGCCACACATTGAGAACAGTATTCTCTGAGTGGAGCCCCCTCCATGCTGGACTTGAGAAATTCTGCAGGGAGTAGGCTCAGTGAGCTTCTTAATTACTACAGAGATGTTCTTGGTGGTGGTGCTCAGCAATCTAGAAACAGCGCCTTGAAATGAATACTTGGCGCTATTTGATGGGACACTCAGTGAGAGGCAGATATCTGGGACATTATGAAGCGTTTCTCTAGATGGCCTGTAAATGCCACACGCACGCACTAATTGGGCAACAAGACATCATTAAATTATTTGGAGTCATGATTGAAAAATAAATATTTTAAGGGACCAGAGGGCACAACTTAAACACTTTACTCTTCACGCTCATTTCTTTAGTTCACAATGTTGACTGAGGGGTTGGCATAATTGCCAGTGATAAAGATGCTGGGTAATTATATACTTGTCTATGTTTACACTAGACATGGAATCAGGGCACACATTTCATAAGTGAACCTCATGGATGTCCCGTCACATCCAGGCAGAAGTCATCATGATGCCAGAGATGGGAACAATTAGGAATAAACTTTCAGCTCAAGGGAGTATGGTGGAGATGGAGGAAATAAAATGCTCACTGGACACGGAGTATACCACAGTGATAGAGCATGTGTTTAGCATGTGTGAACCTCTGGGTTTGGTCTAAAGTAACACACACATACATATACACTCACCACACACACACACACACACACACACACACACACACTACAAATCAACTCACAGGATTAACAGCATATATTCTAGAGCATTTGTATGTGTGTGAAGATCCTGTGCTCCTGTGCTGTGGACTGTGTGTGTGTGTGTGTGTGTGTGTGTGTGTGTTGATGACAGAGCACAGGTCAGAGAAATGTGACAGATTCTGGAAGTTACAGTGTCCTAGAGAGGACAACACACTAGAGCAGCATGGGATTAGTGTTAAGTCAGTCTCCACCCAACTTCAGTGACGGGACTGTCAGGTGAAGCATCCTTAGGCAGGCAGGCATCTTCCTTGGTGTTGTGGATACAAAAGTGATAAAGGAATGACTCCCTTTTCTCACAAGGCTTGCATTCTGATTGGAGGAGGCAAATTATAGAAGTTATTTAATAAGCACCACTACAAACGGGCCCTTACTTAACAGTGGTTTGACCTTCTCTCTCTCCCTCTTCCTCCTTCGCTCCACCGTCCTCCCCCAACTCTGTCGTATTTGTATGTGTGTGTATGTCACGCACACGCCAGAGGTCAAAGGAAGGATTCTTTCTCCACCTAACTTTCTGAGACAAGGCCATTCACTGAACCTGGGTCCTGCTGTTCTGACTGATCAGGCTGGCCAGCCAGTTCCCTGGGATCCCCACATCTCTGCCCTCTGTGCTGGGGATACAGACATGCACTGCTGTATCCAGCTTTACTTATCTATATATTTATTTGTTAAGTAGTGCTGGGGATCCGAACTCAGGTCCTCACACTTGCATATCAAGCACCTTACTCACTAAGCCATCTCCCCAGTCCTTGTTTGACTTACTTTTTTCCAGTTAGAATCTTTGTTTATAGTAATAGACTTAAGAAACAGTTCTATTCTCTCTCTCTCTCTCTCTCTCTCTCTCTCTCTCTCTCTCTCTCTCTCTTGCTCTCTCCTAATAAAGCTCTAGAAAGGTAAAAAAAAAAAGGGAACGGTTCTAGGTTTTCTGAAACACACACTGGCACCCTGAACCC